ATTTCACGTAAATTTATTTATTTACAAACCATAAAAATGTTAGTGTACCAATGTATTCTATACCTTAAAAAGTTACATGTCAAAATTTTAAATGGGTGAAATGAAAATAAATAAAAACTTAAGTTCCAATGTTTTCATCCTGTCCCCCAAGTAAACACCCTAGGAGTTCATTAGCGGTGGGAATCTCTCAGGACTGGGCAAGAAGAAAGGTCTCAGTAGGGAAATTGAGGCTGCAAAAAGGTTTCAGGCACCTGAGACATCTGGTGTGAACAGTTCCCACAACAGTCAAATGAAATTTGGAGTCTATGTACTGTGCTAACCTTTGCAAAAATTACTTTTTTGAAATACTGAGGTTATTTTTCTGATATGCCTGCTCTTTGTGGCAAATAATTGTAATGCCAAGCATGGGTCCAAATCAGTCACGTGCTACAATTTAAAAATACTTCACTCCACTATTTTGCTCCGACACACTGATTTTACTGTATTTCTTCAGCTTTCTCTTACAACAGTGTCTTCATATGAAGAGTCATAGAAAAGTTGAGAATTGAATCTAAAAACAACCCTAGATGTAGCAGTCTGTTTTAGACAAGGAATGTTTGTCCAGCTCTCTTCCTTTCTATATCCCCCTCCTGTTTGAGTAATAAATATTTGAAAAAGAGTAAAGCATGGCTAGAAGACTTCGAAAAGATATGATTTTGAAAGAGAGAAAGTCAGCCAGTCATACTCATCCCTCCTGATGACATCTCCTAAGGGAAGCCTCAGCCCCATGCCGGCTCCAAGAGGGGGTAGGTTAACTGAGCCTTCAGGGTGCTTGACGGAGTAGACAATTTTGTTTGAGATCAACTAAACTTAGGTTGCTCTTGGTTCCTTAAGAAAATTAAAACCAGCAGCTGTTCACATGCAAGAGCTTTAGTCATCTTGTTTAAAAACAGGTTTATTACATAAAAGTGGACTAATCCAGACCATGTTAAAATTTTCTAGCATAATTCCCCAACATTATGAATTTCAAGAAGTTACAATACCAGCCTATATATCATACTTAAATAAGCTAGATTCAACGAATCTCTTCTTCACCCATCATATAACAAGTTATTTTGAGTAACAAAGATTTTTAAATCCAGCAAGTTTTAGGCATTCCATGCTAAGCTGCTACCACTTTGAGTTCCTTCTTTGAGGCCTTGCCACCCACCATTAGTCAATTTTATGATAACCCACCCAATTTACAAATCTGAAGCAATGAAGAAATCTATGTTGCCACGTGCCCGACATGTAGCAGACATGGCATACCACCGTGACACTGCCTCACCCTCCTAACAACTCTCTAGGTAAATATTATCATCGTCTTTTTTTAATAGTTGAGTTTCTAAGAAGCTTGGAGAGGGCAAGCAACCAGCCCAAGGTCTTAAAGCTATTGAAGTGGCAGAGGAAGGCCTCACACCCAGACCAACTGCAAAGTCCAAGTTTCCTCTACAACACCTACGCTTCCTATGATTGGTTCACGAGTTTTACTCTCCACTGACTGAAAAGCTGGATTATTTTTATATGTCCATCTACAAGGACTCTTCTGAGGACTCATTTGTTTAACTGTTTCAGAACCTTGGCCATCCCTTATTTACATTACAAAGTATTTTTTATTATATGTGCAGCTGTTATCTAAGTGACACAGCCCACAGGAGACACAGAGAGCCCAAGGACTCTAAATGTGAAGAGATGCATAAACAGTCAGCACACTGGTATCAGCAAAACTGTGGGGACTTGATAACTTCAGTGCTAATCAGCTATAAAATTGCTGGACAGACTTCCTATTACTGTACAAATGAGCATTTTTAGTTAACCCAAAAGTATCACCAACTAAAAGCAATTATAGCATTCCCAACCTAAATCGAATCTCAAGCCTTAAATCCTGAAATAATTTGCAGGGAAAGCTTGTTGAAAATACTTTTTATTTCTCAGAAGCTGTTAAAATAAACACAAAAATTTGCACTTTAGAAAGCATTTCCTTTACTTCAGAAATCTTTTTCAAGGTACAAGTCTGTTTGTTTAATGGAAAACGAGAGCCCAGGTTTCCCAAGCTGCTGTTTAATCAGTAGCTGAGTCCCACTGGCTTCAGACTTCCGTGAGGTCCTTTATCTGGAACTGCTAACAGCTTCCTCTGTACTCAGTGACCTAATATGCCACAGAACAATAGAAGTGGTTTCCTTGTCTAACCACTACCCTAATATTAATAAACTGTGGACTCAGAAGAATGCCCCACACATACAGCATGTATGACCTGAATTGGAGAATCTTATAAAAGGCACATAAATGTTTTCTAAGAGAAGAATCTGATAAACATGATCTGTAGAAAAGAATTTCTTAACTGTAATCTTAGTTTGGTAATTTGTGTGAAAACAGTGGCCTTTCTCCCTTTATATAAGCTTCCAAGTGAGAACCAACAAGATCTGTCTACAATAACAAGGGCCCTTGCAGAAATATATTCTCAGGAAAAGAAGCTTCCACAGAGAGCATAAGGGACACCCAAAAAGAAAGTGTGAGACCTAAAATTAAGTTCAACCAAGAAATGCCTTCTTGCCCGATGGGCTGAGGAAATCCTCATATTTGCAAGCTTTATGACGACTGAATGGGTAAATACCTGTTTGAATTTCCAAACCTAGAAATAATTCTGGATGACAAGGAAACCTTGAATAACTGAACTTCGATTTAAATGCTGAGTTTTAGTTAACTGCCTCATTTCTTTCCCCATGTAAATGGGCGGGCAAAGGATAAAATTCAAGTATGTTTTCCAATCCTTGATTAAGCCATGCTTTCTCCAAGGCACCATTAATCAGTTTGAACTTCAAGTAGGAAGAATAAAGCCAATGAGGCAAAAGACCCTAAGCAATGATCTAGCCTTAATTTGACAATGGCCAGCCCTACCTTCAGATGTACAGGCCCCAGATAATTAAACGCTGGAGACTTGAGAGTTAATATGTTTTCAACGTTTGACTGCTCTTTTATCTACCATACGTGTTCAAAGGGGTTCCTCCTTCTTAACCAGTTAGCTCACTTATCAGGATTAGCTTAAGGGTTTCTTTATTCTCCTTGGTCTAGAATTCATCTCTGCTACCAAGATTAATAATCTCTTCTGGATGGAAATACAACCCCCCAGATCTATGTGCAATTGTGCATCTTTTCTACAGAATTTATTTCTAGGTACCTGTCATTCATACGGCACATGTCTAACCATACACCTTCTAAGCAACAAAATATGAAGGGAAAATCTGCAAATGCTGTTATAAATCACCAAATATTTCTTTATGCTTTATTTATGTCAAGATTTGATATTTCTATTTATGGATTAATTTTCCTGATTGTTTTACAGCACACCAAAAAAAAAAAACCTTAGATTTTATTATTTATACCTCCATAAAATAGTAAAAGAATGGAATAAAAAAATAGCACGTTAAGAGATTTATAGGCGGACACATTTCCACAGGTTCCTACACAGAATCTGTTTTTCAAAATATATAAAAATTCAATTAAGTGCAAAGTCATCTGGAAACTTCTTGAAATCCTTTCACTCTTTCTCCACTATCCTACTCTAGTGCTAATTTTCCATCTCACCATCAATATCTTTCAACATCAACATCTTTCCATATAGTCTTTTATAACTTCCCAGGTACTTTTTGTGACTCTTAACTGGGCTGCCTATACACTTCTAATAATACTCACTGCTCTTACCTATCAGATCAGAAAACAATTCACCTTACAAATATTTGATCTAAGGCAGTGGCAGAAACCTAGCAATACATTATATGGTACAATGATAACAGTTAATACTCAACTACAGGGCACTCAATGACTTAACCGGGTGTAGCTCTGGAAATAATTACCTATAGCTTTCCTTGTGGATGTGTATGAAAAACGTGTCTTCACTGGGAACAGTAACTTCCACATTCTGTACCCAATTAACATCATTCTAAAATAACTCTTGATCTCAAGGGTATTCCTAAATAGTTACGAGATTTGAATCACAAAACTAGGGGAATCTAAGACCTGGGTTTTAATTATGATTCTGCACACAGTTTAGCTGTACATCATTTGACCCCCCAGGATCTCAGTGTCTTCAATTGCAAAATGAAGAAACTGAACTCAATTTTCTTTCAGATCTATTCCAGCTCTAAAATTTCATGAAACTATGGAATTTCAGTTTCTCTTCATTTCAAAGATAAGCAACCAATGGTAATGGCAAATTAGCCTACATTGTTTTTTTCCTTTAAATGACCCAACTTGGGATGCTTTCTTGCGTTGAAGTTTTATCTAGGCAAATAAACTGCAAATGAAAACGACATCGATAAAATATAAAGAAAATCACACTGACTTCAATCACCTTTGGGCCATTTTGTTAATAGTTATTCAAAGGCTGCTACTCTGATCACTGGCTTCCTAAAACAGAAATATTTATAGAGTTGTTTCCTTCTCATCCCGAGATTCAATCCGAATAAAAAGCACGGCGTCTAAAATCGATTTCAACTTCAGAACAAGTTGCAGAGTGCGAGGGAAACTTCGCACAGCTCTCCAAGTCATCTGCATTTAAGCATGATTAGAGTTAAGAAACGGTTCTTATTATGAGATATAAGAAGCTCACAGGCGGCAGGTGACATCTGGAAAGGCAAGCAGAACTGCCAAGCAGGGATGTAGGCTGAGCACCTTCAGGCAACAGGTCCAGAGCCAGTACCGCAGTCTGCCCCGCTGCACCCCGCTCGCCGCCCTTCGCAGCCCCAACCGCATCGCCTCGCCCCCGCTTCGGCCCTGGAGAGGCAGCCCGCCCCCCCACCCCACGCCCCTGCGGCAGAAGCCTCCCTAATCGCTCGCTTCCTCGGGCCTCCCGCCCCGGCAGGCTCTCCAATTCCTCGACGCCGAGGCCGGACCGGGCCTGATGCCTTCTCCCCGGACGCCCGGGTCGCAACGGTCCCGCAGTCCTGTCGCCGCAGCCCCGTCCCCGCCGCGGGCCCGCTCACCTGCACCTGTTTGCGGAAGTGGCGCGGCCCGGGTACTGCCAGCGGCTAGGAGCAGCAGCAGCAGCAACGCCGGTGGCCCCGGCATCTCGCCCACCGCACGGCCCCGGGGCCGGCTCTCGGGTCGCCTTCCGTCCGTCCGTCGGTCAGTCGCTCCTGCCTCCCTATGCTGCCTCAGCGGCACCCGCGCCGGCTGCTCCTGGTCACACGGTGCTTCGGCCAAACCTCAGCGCGGCTCCTGGTCCGCACCCGCCGCTCCGGCCACAGAAACACCATCCTTCCCGCCCGTCCGCCAGCCTGCGCCGCCGCCGCCTCTCAACAGCAGCAACGGCAGCAGCCCTGCGGAACCGCGGGCCCGGGCAGCCGCGTTCCCGCCGCCATGATGGGCTGCGTCATGTGACGTAGAGCGGGGGCGGGAGGCCGTGATGGATGGCCCAGCCAGCCAATCGTCAGCACCACAGGGCCCTGGAGGCCCCGCCCGTCAGTCTGGCGGAGGGAGGGTGTCCGCCGGTGCGCCCCCTGCAGACGGGAGAGTGCGTGGGCAGCAGGTAATACCGGCAATTATTTTAAATTTAAAAATACAGGGAAGTACAAAGAAGACAATAAAAAACATCCAGAATACATCCTGAATTTTTTTTCTTAGTATTTTAAAACATGTAAAAATAGGCCTGTTTTGTCTTCTGCCTTTTTAACTTGTCAGAGTCGTTTGGGGCTCTTCTCCTTAGGTTAACCTACACACTCTATCAGCCACCAAGGAGCTTTAGGTTTCTTTATTTCAATTCAGCAAGAATAGAATGCCTCTCCCCTCACACCCACTGACTCAGCTCCTGATCTCAAGCCATTCCCTTTGCCAAGAGTGCCTGCCCTTCCTGTCCTCTCTCGGCTACCTGACACGCTTCTTTCATCCGTCCAGGCACACCTGAAGGATGACGTCATCTAAGAAGGCTACTCCCCAACCCCAGGAGAAATTACTAACATCTCCTAGTGCCCTGCCCCAGCCCTTGACGGACTGCTATCCAAAATGCCGTATTTTATTGTTCATGTGACTGTAAGCTTCCTGAGGACAAGAACTGTGCCTGGCTCAGCTCGGGTTCCCAGGGGGCTGTCTCAGGGTGTTCTCCAAACCCGGATGCCTGGTCCCGGTGGTGCCCCGGGAGGAGCAGCTTCCAGGTGCCGACCTCTCCCCACCAAGAGACAAGGCCCAGGTGGAAAATAGGTAGAGAAAGCACTTTCCAGGCAGACGTAACATAGTGATCAGAGGCCTGGAGGCTGGGAAAATGCTGGGCTTTCCTGGAGAATGAACTTGTAGTCCAGTTTGTAGATGCGAGGAACTAATTTGAATCTTATCAGATGAGGCTCCACCGACTGGCAGCAGGAGAGCCTCCCCAATTCTCCAGACTCCTCAAATGTCCATCCTGCATGCCAGCTCTCTGGTGCTAACCCAGCACTGGACACACAGAATCTATGCCCAGGAAATATCTGTTGAATGGTGAAGGCAAGCCAATAAACAGCTAAGTAAACATATAGCTGGAATGTGACATGCTGAGTTCAAGCTCTTATGACTGTCTGCTGATCTCTGTGTGGGAAAGGTAAGGAAGGTAAAGGTCTAGAAAAGAGACACAATCGCCCTGTTGTGCTTCTCCATCTATCAGGAAGCTCCAGACTGAGAGTTGGTGGAAGCCAGGGAATGTCACGCTGTGTGCCAAGAGGCGTCACTGTGTTTACAGCAGTGCGAGTCCAACCAAGGCCCTGCCTCATAATCCTTGTGGTTGTTCATCATAATTAAAGTGCACCCCAACAACGGCACGTCAGACCACAGTCCCAAAGCGGGTTTCGTTATTATTTGAGCAAGCCCAAAAGTTTAAAAAAAAAAAAACAAATTTTTTTTCCACTTCGAAGAACAGGGGTTAAGGTACACATTCCTCAAAGGGTGTCTGATGGCAACCTTTACCCCACCACCCACCTCACCACAAACACCTTTGCCCAGTGCTTCTCTTGAAGACATTCAGAATTTATAAAACAAATGAAAACTGCTTTGTCTAGTTCACCTAGGAATTGGAAAACAACCTTAGGCACAAATTTGGGATTAAATCCAAAATTGTGATGGTGCAAGTTACTTTACTACATTTTAGTACAAGTTATTTTGCTACATTTATTTTACTAAAATTACTATACTTTACTGTTATCTATGCTTTGAGGCTATTTATATCTATTGTAGCTGTATAGTAGAAATACTATATTATACTACACTATTGCACATCTCTTCCCAGCTCCGACTTCAGTGATATCATGTCTGTAGCTTGAGATAAGCCATGGCGTGAGTATTCACACCATGGAAATTGGCAAACAGTGCTAATCAGGGCTCTTTTCCTCCAGGAGAGCCATTTGTCTTGCACACCGGTGGTCTTGCCATAGTATACCCTCCACAGGGTCTTGATGACTGCCCCTTGCTGACCTGAATCCTTTTTGTGGTTGCGTTACGTTACTTCAGCCTTAGGCAAATAGGAGACCACTGGGAGTGAAAGTCAGACTCTCCCTAGTTCTCTGACAATCAAAAGCCACAGACCTCATCCCTGACCCTCCTTCTAAATGCCTTTGTATGAAGTCTTCACCTTTTCTTACCTTCTAGGTCCTCAGTCTAAAACTGTCTGAATCAAGGACAGCTCACCAGGTGTGTCTGCCTTTCAGAGCCCTGAGCCACCTCCTATTATGGGGGGCACATCCAATATGGTAAAAATGAATGAATGAATACAAATAAGAAATGCTGAAGCAAGTCTCAAATATATGCTAAAGTTTAAGTCTAACAAATTAACACTTTTAATATTACTGCACATTTACAGTGCAATATAATGATGCTATACACAAGACAATTACAGGATTTATTAAAGGTGCACAACGCATAGTGAGATTCAGCAATGGGATAGCATTTTAAAATCGTATTATGAACATATTTTTTCCAAGCTAAGTAATAACTCTTTAAACTTTACCTAATTTTAGAATATTTTCATCATTCCTTAAAGAAAATCTGTACTATTAGCAGTCATTTCCCACCTCCCCCAGCCCTTGACAACCACTAATCTATTTTCTGTCTCTATAGACTTACCTAATCTAGACATTTCCTATAAATGGAATCATACAACATGTGGCTTTTTAGTGACTGGCTTAAGCTATTGTTCCCAATTTACATATGAGGAAACTGAGAAACAGAGAAGTTAAGTACTTTGGCCAAAATCACGTGGCAGAGGTGGGGTCCAGACTCAGGCAGGTTGGCTCCTGAGGGGTTGCTAAGTGCCCTTTCTGTCCTCTCCTGGCTACCTGATACACTTCTTTCACCTGTCCAGGCACACCTGAAGGATGACGTCATCTAAGAAGTCAACATCAAAACTGAGTCATGTCAAAGTGTACATTGAAGGCCTTTTGTGAATGTGAGGTGTGAGGCCAAAATGCCCATGTGCACCCCTCAGGTGAGAGGCCCTAGGAGATGGGGAAGAGTGGAGGTGGGGAAGCATACTACTCTGAAGGCAGCAGATGCTCCGTAAAATCCATTTTTCCATTGTGAAAGGCAGGCTCTCCTCCTGGATTGAACTCTTGCATTTTTCCTTTCTTTGGCCTGCTCGGCAGCTGAACCCCTTCCCATATCAAGAAAGCCTCACAACATGAATCTTGATAATGGGAAGGTTGCCTCCCACTATGAAGACTAGGAGCCAGACATATCTATCCTCTAGGGCTCCAGCAACCAGGGCATAGGTATCCTTTCAGGTCCACCACGGTGCCAGCAGCTGTGTCATCCTTGCACACAGTTCCCAAGGTGGGACTGATGACCTCCCCACTGCCCAGCCCCCTCAGTGGCTACTTATGTCCTGAGCCCAAGTCCCCAGTTCTCCCCAGCAGCTGCTCACTGCTCTCCAGCCACTTCTCCACCTTGCTCAGCCTCTCGAGGTTCAGAAGATCCTTGCAACCCACCCAGTTGCTTGAAGCTTCTGCAAAGACCCTTGGCCACTCCTACTGGGGGCAGCCACTGGGGCTGCTCCTGAACCAGACCCTCAGGCATACATCGAGCATCAAGTATGCATCAACCGCTATGCTGGACACTGGAGATGCCATGCTGGACAAGACAGATGTAGTCCTTGCCGTGCTAGGCACAGAAATCGCCCGGCCGATGACACTGTTAAATGTGAAGGTACTGTTGTGATGGTGCGAAGTCACAGAGTACGTATGCAACACAGCCTGATACAGCCCTGGGAATCCAGGAAGGCTTCTCTGAGGAGGTAACACTTGAGTGGCAATCCCAAGAATGGACAGGATGGTAGCTTAAAAGAGAGGAGGGAGATAGAGTTCCAAACAAAGGAAGGAAGATGGGTTTTAATGTTTTATCTTCGATATGTCGAAGTGGAGGCTGACAGAAGGACCCTGGACAGGTAAGTTTAATGGGGAAAGGGAAGAATCTGGTACAGACAACTGGATTAGGGGGATGGCACAGGAGGAGGACGGGATGGATGTTATTATCCCTCAGAGCATTTTCCCCTCCCTGCCTATGCCTTGCATTAGAACAGATCCCAGAAGTGGAACTGTGTCTGTGGAACTCCCAGCCACATCCCCGCGGCTAGAAGGTGCCAGCGCCAGCAACATCCGGTGGATCAGCAAGAGAGTGAGAGGTGAGAGGCTGTGGGCTCACGACATGCCAGGACCCAGGTGGGCTGATGCCTCTGTGTCCAGTCAATGCCTGTGTGCCCTGCGGATGACAACCCCCCCACAGACAGCAGCGTGTGTCTGGGCAGGACACATGTTCTAATCACATTTGCTCCTCCCCAATCATTCAACAATGATTTCAACAAACAGGAGGTGGCTTTGACGTGTGGGACCACGTTCCTGGCACTAGGGTCAACAAGGAGATGAGGTCCCTGCTCTTGAGGAGGTGGCATTCCAGGACAGGGAGAGCCAACGCTGCTTTGGAAAGTCCTGCCTGGCTCAGCATCCTTGCCAGTCACGAGGCCCTTTCCCCAAGCCCGTAAAACCAAGGCTGACTTACAGGTAAGCTCCTGTGTCAGTTCCCGCAGGCCAACTGGAGCAGGCTGGGTGGCAGGTGCCAGGTGGCCAACCTGCGAAGGTGCGAGTTTCACCAGGGTGCGGCTGGCACATGGGCCCAAGGTGGCGGGTCAGAGCTGGCAGGGGCCTGTGGGCTTGCCCTGACCAGTCAGCCCATGCAGCGCCATCCTCTGGCTCTTCCTAGGCCCTGGGTCTGAAAGGGATTTCGGGAAGTGAGGCCTGGAACCTTCGAAGCAGAGGGAATCCTAGGGAGGCCCCTGCAGCAATGCCTGCCTGGGCCTCTCCACCTCCTGCAATGCCACCCTGTGCTATCAGAGGTGCCCGTGCCAGCCTGATGGGGGAACTTCCTTTCCTTTTCCGTCTGCTCCCAAATGCCAGGAAACAAACGTTTCATGTGACCCCAAAGATGACGAGTGAGGAAGTGACTCCTTTAGACCCAACTGCTCAGAACCTGGGGTCAGTGTCACCCCGATAACCAGGGGTCACTGTGTGTGGTTAGCACCTGGTCCTGCCTGTGGCTCCGCGCCCAGCATGCCTCCTCGGCAGCACCCCTCACCCTCACCCCGGCTGGGGAGGCCCAGGTGACTTCCTGCACCTCCCTCCTTGCCCTACCTGTTTGTGCCCACAGCTGCTGAGGGCAGTTCCACCATCTGCCAACAGGCTAGGCCGGAACGTGTGGTTCCTTCTCCAGCGCTGAATGGATTTATTATTTAATAGCACGGGGAGGTGTGGCTATTTTTTTAATCACCAAATTTTGTTAGAAATGGGCTTTTTCACTGCTCCATGCGTGCCTGTGTTGCAGCTAAAAACCACAGCTTTTGTGGAGGGCAAATGTGCATGTCCATTCCTCAGATTTTTAGGGACAAGCCACACACTATTCCAGACTCTACTCAGGGAGCTCAGACACGTGCCGTGTCCTGGGTGACATGTAGGCATTTCCGGTGTGTTACTTCATTACTCCCCAGAATAACCCTCTGGGGTGTGCTCTGGGCCTGACTTACAGATATATCTTTGTTTTCCCTGAGGATAACAGGGTGTGGAGCAGTATTTGATTGGCAGCAGAAAGGTCATGGGGAGGCTGACCTTCCACCATGGACTTCATTTTGGCCCATAACCATGGTTTCCCTCCCTACACTTGTTTCCTCTTGGGGGAAATAGGCCCTGTCCCACCTGCTCACCTCTCCTCTTGAAGGGCCGAAGCTGCCACCCAGCCAACAGGTAAGGCTCATCCCAGTCCAGTTGGGGTGGCAGAAAACTTGATGAAGGATGGGACAGAGGGTGCCTAGGTGTCATGGTTGACACAGGTCTGTCCTAGGTCTTGAGAAGACAAAAGACCTCAACTAGCTCTTCAGCTGGACAATGTGGACTTTCCCGCCTCTGGGAGGCGTTAGGCACAGTGTGGGGAACATCTCTGGGCATCCCTGGAAACAGCTGATGCCATGCTTACGTGGGTCTTACTCTGCCATGCCCCAGGTTCCTCTGAGAACAACCATCTGTGACTTTCTTACTGAGATGCCTGAAGAGTGGAAACTATGTAAGCTAATGATCCTCAGGGGAAATTGCAAATCTTCAGCAGATCATTTCAAGGAAAAGACTTGGGGCCTCATGAGCCATTTAAATCAAGGCTGGTGGGAGAGCTGGTGGAGAGTAGCGAGTGTCTGCAGAGGCTGCCCTGGTGGGCAAGAGTCCTGGCCAGGGAGCCGAGGTCCAGCAGGGCTAGCTGCTGGGTCCCAGAAAGGCCTGCTGGCCCTGCACAGGCCCCGAGCACAGACACTCCAGTGGGGCGGCATAAACAGTGGAAACTCACATGGAGGTGAGGCCAGATGAGAAAGGGAGTGCGGCGGGAGAGAGATGCCAGCCACAGGACACAGGCCAAAAGGCCTTGAAAGGCAGGAAAAGGAGTCACGCAAATGTGACCAGGCCAGGAGTGACCATGTTAGCAAAGATCTATGCCATGTTACCATGTTAAGGAAAAGGAGGCAGCATGATTCCATATTCACATTCAATTCACATTCATACATATTCACAAGGACTGGAAGGAAATCACCAAAGCGTGGGTATCTCTGAAAGGTCACACCATGGCTGTTTCTTCCTTCCTTTCACTTCCTTTTCTTTCTTTCTTTCTTTCTTTCTTCCTTCCTTCCTTCCTTTCGTTCTTTCATTCTTTCGTTATTTCCTACTCCTCCCCCTCCTATCCTACTTTTGTATTTTCTCACTTTTCTATAATGAGCCTGAACTGGTTTGTTTATAGGGGAAAGCAAAGATTTTCTTCGTTGTGTGTTTATTTTGTTTTTAAGCTGGTGGGTTTCACAGACTCAACTCATGTCAAGGACAGAGACTGTCTCCAGCATAGCTCCACTGTTAGAGAATCAAGAAGAATTTTTTTTAATATGCTTTACATTGTGGAAAATATTCCAGATGGTACCAGAACGATAATATCCATCCGAGCCAGTCCATGTTTTATTTTACACCTTGGGCTCTGGGTGCTTGATTATGCACTGTTATTCTCACCAGCTGAATCTGCTGCCTGCTGGGAGGTGTTAAAAAAAGCCCTTTTTTAGAGAGATAATTGAATCAGCTTAGGAAAGTGGAGTGTTTTATTTTTGGTGGAGATGGTTGGCTATATTCCATGTATTCTCTTGAAATTTTACTTGAAAGATTGTTGCCGTTTGGTGATGGAGGATAGCTTTTGGGTTTTGCTCTTCTGCACTGTTTCTGAGCAAGGTATAGATAGATGTGTGGAGATGGAATTCTATTTGTTGTGTCTTTATTCTAATCTGGGTGTGTGTCTCTATGTTGAGAAGGAAATTGGAGCCATTAGCTAGCTTGTTTGGCCACAAGACATCCTATGCGATTTTGGAATATCTAAGCAGAGACGGCACCTTTCCAAAAGTCAGGTTTGATGACTCAGGGGGTCCAGGTCTCCAGGCCATCAACACGTGTTTGCTCCTTGATTTAAAAATGGGGAGAAGGGTTGGCTGGTTGTTTTCCTCTGTATCAATTACAATTTTCAATGAACCAAGTGAACTGATGGGATGTTTTGACATGTTACTTGGCTTTAGTCCCGCGAATACGATCCAGCTGAGAGTCTTTCAAGGCACTGGGCTCTGAGAAAGCAGACATTTTCAAATTATGATGATGGTAAAATATACATAACCTAAAATGTACCACTTTAACCATCTTTAAGTGTACAGTTCGGTGGCATTAAGCACATTCACATTGTCATGCCACCATCACCACCATCCATCTTCAGAACCTTTTCATCTTCCCAAACCAAAACTCTGTCCCCATTAAACACTCACTCCCACTCCCCTCTGCACCAGCCCCTGGCCACCACTTCTACTTTCTGTCTCTAGGAATTTGACTTCTTTAGGTACCTCATAAGGGGAATCATACAGTATTTGTCTTTTTGCAACTGGCTTCTTTCGCTTAGCGTAATGTCCTCTAGGTTCATCTATGTTGGAACATGTGTCAGAATGTCCTTTCTTTTTAAGGCTGAAGAATATCCCATGGTATGGATGGACCACATCTTGTTTCCCCATTCATCTGTCCATGGACACTTGGGTTGTTTCCACCCTTCGGCTATTGTGACTAATGCTGCTGTGAACATGGGTGTGCCAATATCTGCTCATGTCCTTGCTTTCGATTCTTTTGGGTGTATACCCAGAAGTGGAATTGCTGAGCAAGTGGACATTTTAATAGAAATGGAAATGAGACCAACTGGAAAGTCCATTGGCTCTGATCTTTGGTGTCAACGCCTGTATCCTGGAGGGTCCCCAGGAAGTTTAGAAAACGCAGCAGCACCAAACCCGAGAACATCGGTTTGAGCTGGAAGGGTCTTTAAAAACATGGAGCCCAAAGCTCTCTCTTTGTGGATGAGAAATCTGCACACCAAGTCCACGTCTTGCAGGAGACAGTTCTTAGAGCCTGGGCCCTTCTCTCAGGCATAGAAACAAGCAAAGCTGCAACTCTGGAGGGGGTGTTGTGGGGGAACTTCCTGCTGGGTCAGGAACTACTTGCTCCCATGACCAGCTGGCCACACACGCACACGCTTCTCAGGACGGTAAGGAGTTTCAAGAGGCACCACACAGACTCATTACATCCAAAGTGCAGGCAACATAACACATTAAAAGGTACAACTGATTAAGTCCTGGAGATAAGCCACTGTCCATCAGAGATTTCCTCCACTCAGACATAAACCGGAGGCTCCGTTCAACAAACAGCCATCTGAGATTCTGTTTGGCAACAGCTAAGGGAAATGCCAGAGGTGGGTGGAGTGGCCATTTATCATTCTTTCTGGCTGACCAGCACTGGCCGTGGGAGGCTGACGATTATTTCACTAGCCTCCCATGAAGCCAGGGTCCTGCCATGGGACCATATTCTACCAATCAGACACACAGGTGCCTAACCCAGAAGCTAGAGAGAAACAGGCATGTCCACTTGGAAGGAGGGTGGCTGAAACTGCATCAAGTGGCCAGAGAGAGCACACCAAAGGGGTTGCTGTTTGCTCCTAGCAGTGGTGTTTCCACTAAACCTGTTCTGCAGTGTGCTCGGGGCTGGTTCCTGACTGTGCAGACTCCAAGCCGCGTTCTACAGCCTTCCTGGAGATCCTGAGTTACCCAGTATCCTTTAATACATCCTTTTCCTGCTCAAACCAGTTCGAATTCGTTTCTGTGGTTACAACTAAGAACCCAAACTGACTCATCAGACTACTGGTTATCAGTTAAAAGTAGGTTTGGCTGTGAATATCAGTGACACCCACTCCCACCCCTACCCCAAATGAGAGGGCCTTAAACAAGACAAGTTATTCCTTTCTCATTTAATAGTCTGGGCAAGCAGTATTCCACCATGGGACTGGATTTCCCATTTAAATGTAAATGGCCACATGTGGTGGCCAGTGGCGACTTGCCGGACAGCATGGATCCGTAACATTTCCAGCACTTGGCCAGGCCCCTTCCGGGCGCTCCCAGTCCATCTCCCGTATCCCAGGTAATCACTGTTCTGACGTCTGTCACTAGAGATGAGTTTTGCCTGTTCTTGAACTTCATGTAAGTATTGGGTTGTCAGAAAAGTCTTGCCGCATTTTTACAACAAAAAACACAAATACATCATGACTTTTCTGACAACCCAATAGCATCACCGATGTACAATTAAGTGTCTGTAGCTTCTTTCATTTAGCATTGGAGAGTCATCCAGTGGTGTGCTGCTAAATGTTTAACAACAGGCTCTTCAGAAAATAAAAAAGCCTGATGTGAAGCATGTGCTGGTGTTCACAGTGTAAATACTCCCTCCATGGCCAATTTGTGACATCAGCTGGCCAGTACGAGCTGGTCCCAACGAACCGCTGCTTTCGCCTGCTGTTGGCTCATTTGCGTTATTGTCGTGGTGGGCACATGTTCTGCTTCCTGTCCATACTCCACAGGACCCAAGGGCAGCCCACTTTTTCTCTAGTGCAGGTTGTCCTCATTAGCCCGCTTCCCCAGCCCTTAGCTGTCCCTGTCAGGGGCTTGGGTCTGGAAAAGCTAGTTCAGGACTCACAGGTCTCTCACCTGCCCCCTCCTGCCTCTGTCCCTTTCTCCTCTGCCATCCTCCATCTGCTGGGAGTGGACACCGCCACTTCTTGTCTAGCTCTTAGGTAAAAGGATCAAGTCAGCCAGTCCTGCATATGTTAATAGAAGCTAAAGGAAGTTAGGAAACCACCTTCCTTCATGACAAAGCTTGGATTTCAACACTATTGACTTGCTATAGATTCCTAAAAAAAGGCAATTTCGAGACAATGAGTTCCTTGTTCTCTTTCTGTCCTATCTTTGCTAAGACAATCAAGCCTCCAAAATCAGCCAAGGACAGAGGACGACAAACTTCAGCCATGGGCCAGATCTGGTCCCTGGTCCATTTTTTGTGCAGTCCACAGGTAAGAATGCTTTTCACAATTTCTTAATTGCGATATAATTGACATAGCATTGTGTAAGGTTAGCATTGCGTAAATCACCATGTTGATTTGATACATACATGTATTTACAATATGATTTCCACCATAGCACTAACTAATACCTCTACCATGTCACACAATTATCATTTCTTTTTTGAGAACAATTAAGATCTCTAGTCTCTTAGCAACTTTGAAGTTTATAATCCAGTATTACTGACTATACTCATTGCAATGTACTTTAGATCTCCAGGATATATTTATCTACTAGTTGCAAGTTTGTGCCCTTAAATGACCTTTCCCCAATCCCCACACCCCCAAGACCCTGGTATCGACCAGAATACTGTTTTTATGAGCTTAGCTTTTAGATTCCACATGTAAGTGGTATCATGGAGTATCTGTCTTTCTCTGACTTATCTCACTTAGCATAACGTCCTGAAAATCCATCCATGTTGTCACTAATGGCAGGCTTCCCTTTTTTGTCACGGCTGAATAATATTCCATTGTATGTGCACCACATCTTCTGTATCCATTCATCTGTTGATGGACACTGAGGTGGTTTCCATATCTTAGCTGTTGTCAATAATGCTGCAACAAACATGGTTGTGCAGGGATCTCTTTGACATCCTGTTTTCATTTCCTCTGGATAAATACCCAGAAGTGGTATTTATTGCTGGCTCACACGGTGGTTTTATTTTCAGTTTTTGGAGGAACCTCCATACTGTTTTCTATAGTGATTTTCACATCTTTAATGGTTGAAAAAAAAATCAAAAAAGGAATAATATTACATGACACATGAAAATTACATAAAATTTCAACATCCAAAAGACAGGTGGTGTTGGCACAGCCACACCCATTGGTTCCTGTAGCATCTCCAGCTACTTTTGTGCTGCAGAAAGTCCTGGCTGGTAGCACTTGCAATTTCCATGGTGTAAACACTCTCACCAGGGCCGAGTCACTGACCTCAGAGCCGGGAGAGGAGCACACAGCCAGTGAGTGGGTGGCTCCAACACAGGACTGCCTACGCCTCTAGTTCCATGAATGACACAGGCTATGCACTTTTCGCTTAAGTTAGCTTGTTTTCGGCATTATGTTACCAAAAGAGCCCTGGAACAGGTGCCCATAGAATAATGACAGCAACACATGTGAAACTACTGCTGTGACAAGCGCTACAAAGAGACAAGCGTGAGCAAGCCTGCCAGGCAGGACTTCCAAGCCCTGCCGTGGGAGGGGATTCTGGCACACCCAGGTGCCCAGAGCCTGTGTAAGGTGAGCGGGAGCAGAGACAAATATTGGGGGCCTTTATCAAAAGAACACTGAACTACAGCACAGCAAACTGAAAAGCTTCAGCATAGCAAAGAAGACCATCAACAAAACAAAAAAGCAACTTACGGAATAGGAGAAGGTATTTGCAAGTCATATATCTGATAAGGGGTTAATATTCAAAATATATAAAGAACTCATACAACTCAATAGCAAAAAAGAAAAAAAAATCCAGTTAAGAAGTGGGCAGAGGACCTGAATAGACACTTTCCCAAAGAAGACATACAAATGGCCAACAGGTGCATCAAAAGGTGCTCGCATCACTAATCACCAGGGAAATGCAAATCAAAACCACCATGAGCTATCACCTCACACCTGTTAGGGCGTCTATTATCAACAAGACAAGAGATAAGTGTTGGTGAGGATGTGGGGAAAAGGGATCCCTTGTGCACTGTTGGTGGGAATGTAAATTGGTGCAGCCGCTATGGAAAACAGTATGGAGGTTCCTCAAAAAATAAAAACAGAACTACCTTACGATGCAGCAATCCAACTTCTGGGCGTTTATCTGAAGGAAACAGTCACTACCTTGAAAAGGCATCTGGACAGTAAGGAGGGGAATTAAGAGGGGAGACCATTTAGGAGAGCGAGCACGGTGGTCATTCAGATGGGAAATGATGGGTGAAGGTGGTGAGGGCAGAGATGAAGAGAAATGGGAGGACTGGAAGAAGACTTCCTAGGTGTAACCACAGAACATGATCATCAACGGATATAGAGGCCGAGCAAAAGGAAGACACGAAGGGGGGCCTCTGAGCTTCTTCCCTGGCCCAGCCCCTGTTCTACGTGTTACACACATATTAGCTCACTTAATCATCACATCCACCCAACAGATGAGGAAATGGAGGCACAGAGAGATTAAGTAACTCTCCCAGAGTCACACAGCAAGCAAGGGACTGACTGGGAGTCCCACCCAGGCAGTCTGCTTCCACAGTCTTTAAGCTAACCCACAATACTCCAACGATTCTCAGCAGTAAAACCCAAGGCCCTGAGGAGAGATCAAAAGATCTTTGGAAGAGAGTGTGGGGTTGCCTAGTTTTTTCTGTTGTTTTTTCCCCTGAAATGAATGCCAGGTCCAGAGTTTGGATTCTGTCCAGTTGCTGTTAAGGACCCCTGAAGGGTTATTTTTCATTTGATTTTTTGCTGAGGACATTTAAAACATACAAACATAGGTGGAGGAGGAGGAGGATCTCTCTCTCTCACACACACACACACACACACACACACACACACACATCCCCATATGCGTCACCAGCTTTAACTTTCAACTCAGGGCCAATCTGGTCTCACCTCCACTCGCCCCTTTCCCCTCCCATATTATCGTGAAGCAAATTCCAGCCATCCTACCATTTCATTCATAAAGGTTTCATTGTGCAGCTCCAAAAGATAAAGGAACATGTTTTATTTCTAAAAATCCACAATACTACCATCACCAAAAATAATCAACAATTCCTTAATGTCTTCAAATATCCAGTTCCACTGAAGATTTTGAACAGAGAAATAACAAACAAGGTCAGACCCATATCTCATGCAGATGGCGGGAGGGAGGGTCAGGGGAGGTGGGGAAACTGGCTAGGACTGTTGTGTTCCTCCAGGTGAGAGCTAACAGTGGCCTGGACTTGGGATGAGCAACAGAAATGATGCAAAGGTGGTGTGAGAGGCTGTGCTGACCCTGGAGAGACTGCCCTCCAGGGTCAGCCACATCCTAGAGGTGGTAAACCACTGCAGTGTGCCTTTCAAATGCAAACCCACTGGCCCAGAGCCCACACCCTCCCCTGGTCTGTCGGCTCTCACCCTCCGGGCCACTGTTCACCTGCCCTCGTCACCCAGGGCCGGTACCAGACAACATGGGACAGACCTGTGCCCCAGAGCCCGCTGGAATTGTCCAAACCAGCCAGTCCTAAGCCTGTCACCCCGCCTCGCCTATTCCTTCCACAGAAGCCACAATGAAGACTCCTGCCCGCAGTTTCCCTCTCTCTGCCTCCTGATGCCCCTGGTGCTTCCCCAAGTGGCCCTGCATGGTATGGCTGCCCCCTCCTCTTGGGAGCTGTGAGGAGCAAACTGTCTTTTCAATGGCAATTTCTTCTGATCTGCTGGACTTGCTATACTTCACATTTTCTATTAATATTTAAAACACACAGATTTGAGTCGGAGTGTGTGTTTTAGGGAAATTATTCAGCTAGCCTTCAGAGCCTCCACCTGGGTGCACGGTTTTCTACCTAAAGACACCATTGTGTGTCTACAGTGAGAGAGATGCTGGTGATTAAGGCTGGGATTTCAGGGAATTCTAACCACCCCAAACTTCGTCCAGTGCAAACCCAGCTCTGCCACCTCTTGCGGTGTGACTTTAGGTGTGTTGCCTTACTTCTCTGAGCCTCAGTTTCCTTCTCTGTAAACAGGGACCATTGGGACCTATCTCTTTGGATTATTGTGAGGACTAAATGCAATAATGCATGAGCTGTGTTCACACAGCTGGATGTTAAAAAATAGTTCAAATCACAATTTCAGGAGCTCCTGGGGCCTGTGTTTAAACACCGACAGCGGTCAGAGCCTCAGGCTGAGTGCTGAGCCCCAGGCACCTGCATGAAGAGGAACCCATGGCCTCCCTTCAAGGGGAAGCTGGCAAGGCCATGAGCTTGAGCTTTCCAAGGGCTGGCCACTCAGCCCTATCTTTTGGTGTCAGCAATTACTGACATGATTGCATCAGAATTCTCTCCTAATTACAGCAAAAATGAATTTCCACCTCTTGGAGACAAAACCCACAATTAACCAGGGAGGGGTGCCAGCATTCAGTTCTGGGTTCACCATCCTCTAAAATGCTGCGGCCTGGGGATGAGATTCCTCCTTCCCCCTAAATGTCTTCCTGTGTTTTTTGTTTGTTAGTTTTTTAATTAACCGCCAAAAACTTTGGCTTGGGAAGGTCCCCTAATCAGGATGCCCAGGGAGTCAGTGATAGCCAAGCTCAGGGAAGATTGCTGAGAGGACCATGAATGCGGTCCCCACCCATCCTCCAGATGTTTCTAGGGGACTCGTTTTGGACTTTTCACATCTACCTTCCCTTTGTCCCTTCTTGGCTTCTTGACAGTTGTGATTTCAAAGTCTCCAAAGAGAGCTGTTAGCTAAATAGGCTCTGTGTGTAAAGGACTGACCTCACCCAAGAGAAGTCTGGACTTCGACCGTGGCTCCTGCAAGATGATTGCTAAGCCCTTCCAATGTTCTGCCTGATAAGAGTTTTTTTTTAACCTGGCGCCTTGGGCCACACTGGACAGTCGAACATTGTGATTTATTGTGGGGGCTTTGGGCCACACAGTATCAGCTCAACCTCTGGAGGGGCTGGAAACTGAGGTCAGCCATGTGGGGCGTCAACAATGTCGATGTCCTGGAGCCCCAAAAAAGACTCTGGACACCAAGGCTCAGGGGACTTCCATGGATGGCAATACTCCATGGAAGTCACATGTCATTGCTGGGATAGGTTAGCACTGCCTCCACTAGGAGGGGACACCTGGAAATTCCACGCATGGAGCCCTCCTGGAGCCTGTCCCATGAGCCTCTGCCCTTGGCTGACTATAATCTGTCTCCTTTGCTGGAATAAACCACAACCATGAGTGTGACAGCTCTCAGTGAGTTCTGTGAGTCATTCTGGCTAATTATCGAACCTGAGGGTGGTCTTGGGGACCCCTGAATGTGCAGACTTGATGACCCTCGGTCATCAAGGGACCTCTGAAACTTTGCAGTTGATGCCAGAAGTGGGGATGGTCTGGGGGAGTCCCCGGGCTTTGCCTTTCCTGTGACTCACCTTTTCAAAGTGAAGGCAGACCCAGTGAGGAAGTCGGGTGAGGCTGTCACCTGTGACCAATGACCCAAGGAAGAGAGTAAACCATTAAGAGGAGCATCCCTGTGCACCCTCGGTGGGAGCCTGGATAAGGAGACTGGTGTGCGGCACCTTCTTTTAACTGAGGATCTGAAACAAACATTGCCCAGGTTACTCCCTAACATCCATTCCCACCTTACTCCTCTTTCGTGGCAGATCCCATTTTTTTATTCAGGTATTCATCTGACTCCAGAGGGCAGGGGGAGCGGGAAAGCCCCAACTCCAGCTCAAGCCGAGCCCCAAATCTATGGGGTGGATTCTGATTGGTCTCTGCCAGTCATATGATTTCAGAGTTCCTGCCAGTGATTGGCTCAGGTGTGACCATGTGCTGTAATCCTGTTCAATGAGATGTTTTGTTCCTAAGGGATATTCAGAAGAAAAGACAGACTATCTGTGGAAGTTATATGTCTGGATGTGACACAGAAAGAGCATCAGCCATTTTGAAACCACTCAGGGAGTCTGCCTGAGGCCCAGCCAATCAATGGCCCTGCTTACACTGGTGAAAAACTGAATACACCCACCCCTCCCCCAGACACTTTGTTAGGTGAGGTAACAAACATCCTCATGGTTTAACCCAACTTGGGTTCAGGTTTTCTTTTCCTACCAGTAGAATACATCCTGGTCAGCCAGGTACCAAGGCCCCTGGAGATCAGCCATAAAGTGGACAAAATTACACCTGCTTTGTCGTGGGAGAAGCTGAGGAGAGTTATTTCAATTAAGATGCAAGTAACACAGCACACTCAAATCGCTGAAAAAAATAATGGGGCTCTGTGGAAACACCTGAAGACCACCCAAGTCAGAACAAACAGCATTTGTTATTTATGGGCTCACTGGTGGCACAAACACGCCCATTACAGGGTGCCATTGGGAAAGTGTCCCTCCTCCTGTCCCTACCCACTCCCCCTTCCACCCCCACCCTGACCTCTCATTGTCATTTCCACATCTTCCCCCCTAGGCAGGCCTGCAGGTGGCCTCCGCCTACTGCAAGCCCGAATTATCACCACTAGAGGGGACTTGAACGGGAGTTAGGCTTCCTGCTGGTGGAACTTTCCTTCCTGGAGCCGGCACACCCCATTCCCAGGAGGACTGAGGACTGGGAGGAGGGGCACCCCAGGAACACCTGGGCTGATTTGCCAGCGATGCCCAATATGCCCCAACAGGACAGGGGACCCAGGGCACCTTGGTTTAGTTTCTGTAGAGAACAAAACCCCTCCATTGACCAAAACCTGAAAAACAAGCCCAGCCCTGCACTCTTGAGGGCGGTGTGCACAGGAATGCCAGGGACATTCTTCTATTTTGCCCTTGGCCCAGAGATAAAGTCTCCTAATCTCTGTTCTTGAAGAAAAATGTTCACATGAGAGCTTTAGGAGGAAGGTGGAAGCCGGGGTCTAACGTGTGCTTTTTTGGGAACGCTCCAGCTCAGAGGAACCCCAGCACGCTGGAGCAGGAGAGGGGAGCCCCAACACAGCACCAGGCACTGCAGGGGGAGGAGGGTGGCCATGGCCCTGGGGCTGCCTGGACACCGGCCCTGTGAGAGCTGACTGCTTCCCGCAGCGGGGAGAGGTTGGGGGGCAAGGCCTACGCCTGCGTGCCAAACACAGCACAGCCAGCCAGAGTGTGGGGGTGTCTGCTGTGTGAACTGCCAGGTCTGCCCATGGCTCTCCATCTCCCTGGTGTCCTGTGGCCCAGGCCCCACCAATTCTTGCCTGGAGATGACAGCAGCAGCCCACTCTGCCTCAATAGTGTCCCCTAAAATTCACATCCACCCGGAACCTCATGTGATTTCATTGGAAATGGGGTCTTTGCAGATGTCATTAGTTAAGGACACACAGAGACACTGGGAAAAAGGCCACGTGAGGATAGAGGCCGAGATTGGAGCAATAAGGCCACAAGCCAAGGAACAAAGCCTGAGGCCACCAGAGGTAGAAGGGGCAGAAAGGATCTTCCTCTAGAGCAGTGGTTCTCAACCTGTGGGTCGCGACCCCTTTGGGAGTCGAACGACCCTTTCACAGGGGTCGCCTAAGACCATCGGAAAACAAAAAGGTATTTACATTACGATTCATAACAATAGCAAAATGACAGTTATAGTGTAGCAATGAAAATAATTTTATGGTTGGGGGTCACCACAACATGAGGAACTGTATTAAGGGGTCGCGGCATGAGGAAGGTTGAGAACCGCTGCTCTAGAGCCTTTAGACAGAGCACGACCTGCCGACACCTTGATTTTGTACTTCTGTCCTCCAGAATAAGAGAATATATTTCTGTTGTTTGGAGCCACCAAGTTTGTGGGAATTTGTCACAGCAGCCCCAGGAAACACACACACCCGCCATCCCCAATCTGTGTCCCCCTCCCCGCCCTTGCATCTGGAGAGATATTTCAGGTCCCATTTCATTCCACCCCACTTCTCGCCAATGCTTTCAAGTGACGTTCAGAATAAAATCCACCCTCCTTCCCACAGCATCAGGCCTCACGTGGTCCGGCCCCTGCCTACCTCTCCATCCATCTCCTCCCTTGCTGGGCTCCACCCATGAACTGTCATTGCCTTGAATACTTTCCCAGAAAACCTGCCTGAGCTTGTCCCCCCTCAGCACCTCCACGTGTATTGTTCCCTGTTCCCGGAACGCCATCGTCTGGACCAGTGGGTTGCCACATGGGTGATTCTGCCTCCCAGGGGACATTGAGGTCTGGACACCTTTTGGGTTGTCACAACTTGGGGGGTGGTGAGCAGGGTGCTACTGGCATCTACTGGGTAGAGGCCAGGGGGGCTGCTCATCACCCCACAATGCACAGGATGGTCCCACACAGCAGAGAATTATCCTGCCCCAAGTGTCTATCATGCCAAGGTTTTGAAACCCTGCTCCAGATCTTTCCATAACGCAGTTCTCCTTGTCTTTCAGGCCCCAACTCTAATGCCACCTCCTCAAGGAGGCCCTCCCGGGCCATCCTTTATAAAGGGCCATCTCCTGTCACCCCCTTATCACATCACATGTTCGCTTTCTTCAGGGCCCTGTCATCATCAAAGCCATCTTGCATGGTTATTTTTACTTACTGTCCGGCTCCTCCCGCTAGGATTCCCCAGAGAGTTTTTGCAGCCACTGCAGATGGAAATTGGACAGTCTAGCCATCTCCCACCTACCCTCACCCTCACAGCTCCCAGGGAGTCATTAACTGCAGGTTTGTTTTTTCCATTTGGCCAACAGATATTTTTTCCCCTCTCCTGGGTCTTCATGTGGAGGTGAGTGCTGCCAGCCTGGACCTGTCTGAACAATCATCACCACTTCGGGCAGTTTTACTAGCACTTTCCAGCGCTGCCAAGGCTTGAGGCCAAGTTGGTTGGCCTAGCCTCACGTGGACAAGCTGTTCTCCCCGGATGCACCTCACCGACTGGGTGTTTCCTCCTGGTCTAGACACGCAGCCCTGGAGCCAGCAGATGCTAGAACCAAGGTCCCAGCACAGACCTACCCCCCCACACACTTATTTCAGAATCAGAACTCCAAACTAACAGGAATGGGGCTGCCATGGGGCTGAACTGTGTCCTCCCCAAACTTTACATGTTGAAGTCCTAACCCCCAGTCTTCAGAATGGGTCTGTTTTTGGAGTTGGGGCCTTTAAACGGGTGATTAAGTTAAATGAGGTGAGATGGGTGGACCCCACTCCATTATGAGGAGGGGAGATTAGGACGCAGGCATGTACAGAGGGACGACTATAAATATACTGGCGAGGCATGGAGAGAAGATGCCAGCATTCTTCACTGTGGTAAAATACACGTAACATAAAATGTGTTTAAACCATGTTAGATGTACAGTGCAGTGGCATTAAGTACCCTCACAATGTTGTACCACTATCTCCACTATCTATTTCCAGAACTTTTTCATCATCCCTAACAGAAACTCTGTACCCATTAAACAATAATTCCCATCCTCTCCTCACCCCGTTGTCTTTGCTTCTTGATGTCTGGGTCTTACCCTGGAACTCTGGACACTGGAAGCTGAGGGCCGCAATCATCTTACCCACTTCCATGACTAGCAGTTGATACTAGTTGGCCAGAGCAGCTGAAATCATAGCTGGGTCTGGGGGCTGCAAACCCCAAAATGTGGCCTTTCCATGTGGCCTGGCTTCCTCAAAACATGGTGCTGGACTCCGAAGGGAAGCCAGAGGGAGAGGAAGGGGGGAGGGGGAGAGAGAGAGAGAGACAGAGACAGAGACAGAGACAGAGACAGAGACAGAGCGAGAGCCCTAAGCAGAAGCTGTATCCTTTTTATGGCCTCGTCCCAGAAGTCACACAGTGTCACTCTGGCTGCGCTCCACTGGATGGGGCAGCAACAAGGTCCTGATTCCTGGGGAAGGCACACAGACTCCACTTCTCAGGGAAGGCAAGTCTTTGTCTGCAGGAAGAACACGGAGGAGGCATAGATATATTGGTGAGGCCATCTTTGGAAAACACAATGTGCTGCACATGAGGAGGCTGAATACATAAGTGCTGAGGGGTTTCCAAGTACGGATATGACCATGGAGGGATGTGGCTGAGCACGGGGGAGGTGAGCTTGCGGCTTATAGGAATCTAGGCTTTTTCATGATGGGGGGAAAAGACAGCAAGGGCAGTCAGTGCAGGCTGGAAGAGAGCCTGGGGCTTGACTCCTCCTGTGTGACACGTGAGGCTGGTGCTGCAAGGTCGAGCTTCTATGCGACTCAACACAGGGCTGCCTTGGGGCCAACAGAGCCACAAATGAGTCCAGCACACCGATGTGGGAGCCAGGCACCGGGCCCAACAGAGAGGCAGCACGGGGATGAGTTCAGAATCCACTGCAGGTGGTCTAGCAAATCAATGAGGACAGGTTGGGTGCTTCGGTGGATGATGCTGGGACAACGGGTTAGGCTATTGCAAAATAAGAACAAAATTAGACTACTTAGCTGTCACTTTATGGTATCAAAATACAGTCCAGATGGACTAAAGAACTCAATTAAAAATATGGAGCCATAAGGAACTAAACACATTTAGAAGAATGTTCATCTGATCCTGGAGGGGAAGGTCTTCTCGAACAAAAAGGGAATGAATCATCAATAGGGGAAGCAACTCATAGAAACACCCCCCACAGCACAGTTTATAAAAGGGGACAATAAGAAGCCCATTGGATCTGAAGGGGGAGAAATAGCTAAATGGGTTATTAGAAACACCCATACGTTGGAATATCATGTGATCTTGAAGAATCACGTCCTTCGGTAATATTTAAGGATATAGGGTGGGAGGTAATAGGAAATATTTATTGGTCTCTGTCCCTGGTTCCTGGCACAGAGCTCCTAAGACCTTTGTACTTTCCTAAGTGATAAGAGCACTGAGAGCATCGTTTGCCCTAATGAGGTGACTCTGGGTGACTCCTGGATGGTAGAAGCTTGGAATTTTCAGCCCCACCCT